ATCTATTTATAAATATCTTATATATGTACTTAAAAAGATCACGGATATTCAATCTAAATTTTTTTATTAATTTGTTTATAAATTTAATTTTTTTTTTTTTTGTTTTTGTGTATTATATTAATTAATTTAATTTATTTATAATAGTTTTATATATACTTTTTAAAATAGTTATTAGAGACAACTATGTTTATAAAACAGTTGAAATATTCTGTCAAGCTTTAACTGTAAAAAAAGTCTTTTTTTTTCTATTAAAATTTATATAAAATATGAAATGAAAAAAAAAACAAATTTAATTTGTTTACAAAATTTGGCAGAGTTAGCAAAGCATAAAAAACATTATTTCTATATTAAATAAATAATAAAATTTTATCAATTTTTAACATTGCAATAACCTTTTCCAAGTGTGATCTAAAATTAATAATAAGTTATTACCAACAATTATGAAAATCAAATTGGAATTTTACAATTTTAAACGAACATTATTTTTTTTTGGTTTTTTAAATTCTTATTGCTAAAAAGATTTTATTTCAATTAATTATAAAATTTTTTTTTATTCTGGTAATTTATTTATGGAAACTTTTTGGTGTTTTTTTTATTTTTGTTATTGAAACGCTTTATTTCATTTATCTTTCAAAATTTAAAGTTTTTTTTTTGTTTTTATTTACTATAAAAAATTCGTTGAATATAATTATGTATGTATGTATTTTAGGAAAAAAAATAAAATTATTGCTTTTATGTTTTGTACTATAATACAAAGGTGAAAATTAACAAAATTAAAAATAACAAATTATTTATATTTGCTAACATAATATACTTATTAATAAATCAAAATAATACTTGCAGGAAATGAATTTAAATTACAATATTAATACTACAAATCAAGATAACTTTAGAACAAATTTAATTTAAGTTATGATGCTCATAACTGAAATATTTTAATATATATAAAATATGTATTGTGCCATGGCATGACCTCAAGAAGATATTTCTTGGGGCTAATCACAAAATCATTCATTATTAAGCCGGGTGAAAAATCCAATAGAAATAGCAAACGTAACGGTTTTGAAAAGTTATTCTTCAAACCGAAACATATTACAAATCTTAAATTTTTATATAAATTAAGATCTGTAAAAAAACAAATGATTATATACCTTCGAAAAGGTAAGTAAATTATTTTGTAATATAACTGAAATCAAAATTTCAGCAAAATAATTGCAGATTTAATAAGAAATATTATGATTTTATTTAATAAAATTGAAATTTTTAATACTGATAAATTAAATAAAATATTTTCAAAAAAAAATTTGTATTGCAATTGTAATATTTTCTTTAATAATTTGATGTACATTCATTATTAAACAATGTCTATGTATATAAAATTATAATAATTGAAAATCATAATTTTGAGGAAAATTTACAAAGAAAAAATTGTTAAAATGTTTCAACATTATTTCTTTTATAATAATCAGTTAAATCAGTTAAAAATATCTTAAAGATAATATTATTATATTTGGCATTTTGTTTCTTTTGTTTGTTTTTTTGTTGTGATAAATTTAATTTTTTTTTTTAAATCACTTAAAATTAAAAGATTTTATTTAAAATAATTAAGAATAAAGAAATTTCAAATACTATATATCACAAACCAAACTCTAATTAAAAATAATTATTCAAAAAAACATTCATATAAAATTCAAATTTATAAAAAATAATGTGGTATACAAAAATTATTAGAAAAAGCTAAAATTTCAGAAAATCAATCCAAAGTAATTAATTTATTTAATAACTTTTTTTAATAAATATAATTAAAATTTATTATTTTTCTTCATGTTTGAAATATTTTTGAATATTTATTTAATTATGTTTTTATTATCAAATTAAATGTTTAATATTTAATGGATGAGTGCCAACCACTGGAATAAACTTTGAATTGAAATAAGATATTTTGAACTTCTAAAAATTATTCCTATACCTATATTATAGAAAGTAAAAAAAATTTTACCAAAAAGCCTTATCAGAATAAGTGTTTGGCATTTTTATGCGAGTGTAAAAGTTTATTTTTTTTTACAAATAATACAAATCTTATTTAGGTAGATTAGTTCCTTAAACATATTTTTTCATTCAATTTCCTAAACTCGTCTTATATCAAATATATAACTTTAAAATAAAAGTTATTATTTGTGTTTACATTATTTAAAAAAAATATCTAAGTCCTTGTAGCTTGACAGAATTATTTTAAATTAATTAAAAAATTTACAAACATTTAAACATTTTTTTTTTAAATGCAGAAATCAAATTTAACTTTTTATTTAAGTTAACACACAGAGACATACACTATTTGGTATTATTTTAAAAAGTTTTCTAAAATAAAAATATGTTTAAATTATTCAATAATAAATTTAAATATTAACAAAAAAAATTGTGCGAAACCAGCCATTATATATATATATATATATATGTCCGTTTAATACAAAATGAATACTTTTTGTAGCTGGTTAAAAAAAATAAAAACAGAAAAAATATTTAAATAAGTATTTATATGTATTGTAAAATAAAGTATTATTAAAATTTTCTTTTTTTATTTTTTGTTACCTTAGAAAAAGTTTTCTTTGATATTTCACAAAAATTTGGTGGAAACATTAAAATTGACCTACAATCCGTAACTTTGACGGAACTACTAAAAAAAAAACAAATCAAAGCTCACTCAAGTGGGCTTTCTCTTTTATCAAGAATTAAATGCCATCTTATAAATCACAAGTGTAATTTTTATAATAAAAGTTTTTTTGTAATAAATATTGTAATAATTTTTGTAATAAATATTACTTTAAAAAAGTAATATTTATATATTTTCTTGTTTTTAAATATAAAATGGTGCTACACCCAATACAAATATCAACAATTTACACAACTTGTGTTAAAGTTGCTAAAAAATAGCTACAATTTTTATCTTAAATAATTATCTTATTATCATAAAAATTAAATGTAAATATTTTAATATAAAAAAAATTTTAAAGATATTTCACTGTGAAACTAAATTTAAAAAAATATTAATATTTTAAATGCCACTAGTAATATAAGTTTAACATATTATATGGAAAGAGCTCTTGTCTAATAATACTGATAGAATACATGCTTAATATACTTACTTTGTAAAAATATAGAAACTTTAATATCATTTTTATTACGCTTAAATTTAATATCTTAAATCGATTTATATAATAAAAACATTATCAATAAATAATTACGTACAATGTTATGTTTAATTAAAAAAAAAAACAAATTATGAGTTATGTATATATGTAGATGTTTTTTAAACAAATGAGTCGTATAAATATTCGAAATTATGATCATTGCAGAGTAGTTACTTCATTTTTTATTACAAAATAGTACTTGATTAAAAAATACATACATAATATATTATTACACTTATTTATGAAAATCAGTCATTTTGAAAATAAAATTCAAAAAAATCAATTTAATTTTTTCGTTAAACCGATTAATGTCTCTATATGTTAACTTAGAAAAAAATAAACAATTAAAATAAATTTTGAGAAAAACGAATCCTTAAAATTATTACTATTGAAATATTTTGTGTAGAATAACTTTTTTTTCTTTGTCTTAGGTACTATAATTTTCAATATGTAATTACAAAATTATAAAATATATAAATTAAGAAAAGAAATGAGAAAGAAATTTATATATACATATAAAAGCTGGCTGGCTATTGTGTTAATATTAAAATTGTAATTTTAAAATTTAAAAATAAGTGAGTTTACATTAAATTTTTTTTTTATTTTTAATGTTTACATTTTTTTTGGCATTATTAGATAAAGATATATCAAACTTTTTATGTTGAATTACTTAGTTATATCAATTTAAATTCCCAGTTTTTAACCATTACTTGTAATTTTTCTTATTATATATAACTAGTACGGGTAATAAAAAAATTATTATAGGAGTCAATACTTTTTATGGATTACTTTTTTTTATATTTAACATAAAATATCAAAAAGTTTCTTTTTGTATATAAATGATATAATGGAAATTTTATTAAATATGTATATAGCTATATATACATTTATATATACGTAATTTTATTACAATGTAATATATATAAATATACATATATATAAATATATATATTTATATATATATTACATACATATTTTTCTTTATAACGATACATCTTTACGTACATTTATATGCACATAAGTGTTAAAATTACCTAAAATGGTTTATTATATTATTTATATGAAAATTATATTTGTAATATATCAATATTTGTAACACATTTGTATATTGTATCTATATATATATATATATATATATATATATATAAATATATATATATATATATATATATATATATATTTATATATATATATATATATATTTATATTTTTATATATATATATTTATATATATATATATATATATATTTATATATATATATATATATATATTTATATATATATATATATATTTATATATATATATATATATATATATATATATATATATATAAGCAATATACAAATGTGTGCAGATATATATACGTATATATATATATATATATATATATATGTACATTATTGTATATTAATATATAAACGGAAACAATAATTTAATCCTAACAATTATTAATTATTCTAGTATTTTTTTAGCTTAAACCTAAAGAAAAGAAAATAATTTATCTAAATTTTAAAAACTTTTGTTCATTTTAAAACTATTTTCTTATTTTGAATATCGTCAATAATCATTTTTTTCTGATTTATTCTGAAAAGCTAAATATTAATGGGAAGAATTCCATCAAAATTTTCAAAATATTGACAGAATTTCAACTTATAAAAAGAATTTTTTTTTCTTTTTGTATGCATTTCGGTTGGATTCACATTTTTTCTTAATTTTCAAATTATTTTTAAATATACATATGTAATACATTAATATAAAATATATATGTATAAATATATATAGATATACATATATATATATATATATATATATATATATATATATATAGTACATATACGTGCATATCTATACATATTTATATGAATATATATTATTTATATATAAATAAATACGTTATGTTAAAACTCAATATCTTTTTATTTAATCATAAATAAAATTAGCTGCTTCAAAATCCTCATCTTCGTCTTCAAATTTTTCGGTAACCGTATAATTACTATATACCCACTCCTTTTTAATAAAATTTCCATCTGTATTTATAGCAGCTTCTGCAGCGGTGGTTGCAACAACAATTGTTGGTGTAGTTATTGATGTATTTGGTCCAACAGCAACTGACACTGTTGTAGGTGCTGTACTTGTTTGAAAACCCAATGAATTTTGATCCAAATGAAAGTCATCTTCTTCAGGATATATATCATCAGGGATGCTATCTGGTATGGAATTTGGTTCAAATAAATTTGAATATGACAAACTTGTCGTTAAATCATTCGAATCATCGAAATTCGAATGAAATTTAGGTGTTGGTGGCGAACGTTGATTGCTTTCCAAAAATGCTTCCTTTTTTATGACTAATTCTACAGAATTATCGGCTGAATAAAAATTTGGTTCATTTTTAATAATCGTGGTCGTCGCAGTTGGTATAATATTAATACAATTTTGTTGATTTTGATGTAGTTGTTGATGTTGCTGCCTTGTTTGTTGCTGATGGTGTCCTGAATGACTTATGATACCAGAGGAGGACGGTGATAATGAATCCATAGATGACTCAACGGAAGATGAAGAACATTGTTGTATTGCTGTTATTACGCTCGAAGTCTTATTGCTGATGTTGTTATTGTTGTTGTTATTATTGTGATTACTGTTGTTGGTGGTTATAATGTGTCCATTACCGTTTATGCTTATAGCACGTGCGATAGCTCCACTGCCAACGGCTATGTTATTACCGCTGCTACTATAAATTATTGTAGATACCATAGCTGCTTGCGGTCTAATTACATTTTGTACGTCATTTTTTATCACATTTGCGCTTGACTCCATATCTGAATCCTCGTCATGATTTACATGATTAATAATTTTGGCATTCTTGTTGAATTTGATAATGGCAACAGGTTGTGAAGTTTGGACATTTTCTTCTACTTCGTCACTATCAAAGGATTCTTCTTTGATCTGAATCGAAGCATCAGCCGTCATTGGTGGTTTTTGTTGTATTTTTTGTTGCTGTTGTGACTGTTGTTGATGTTGATTTTGCTGCGGTTGAATTCTAATTTGGGCTTTTACATTTTTTGGAAGCGACGATGAAGGTGATTCATGTATTTCACCGCGATTTTGAATACTATTTGCCTCATTAGAATGGTTTGTTTGTGGTTGATTTTGTTGCTGTTGTTGATGCGTCAGTAAATGAGCTTGTAAACTGGATTGGGTATGAAAACGCTTATTGCAAAACTTACAGCCAAAAGGTATTTCGCCTGTGTGAGTACGAGCATGAATTTTAAGATTATATCTTTGACCAAAGCCTTTCCCACATATATGACACCTAAAAATCAATCAGTATATAGAATTAATTTAATATTTAAGAGCTTGCATAAGGCATATGAATAGGGCAAACATATTTCAGAAAAATTGAAAAGATTTTTTTATTTAAAATTACTTGTGCAGTTTTACTCCGGAATGCAGTTTTGAATGTCCTCTTAAAGATGCAAGAGCGCTGAAGACCTAAATAACAGATATCAACGAGACATTTACTTAAGTTTTAAATTTTTTGCCATATAAAATTTTTATTTACCTTTCCACATATCTCACAAGTTAAATTAACATTTTCGTTGTGAATCTTTTTATGAACTTTGAAATATTCAAAACTCATAAATTCCTTATGACACACTTCGCATTTGTACTTGTGACGTTCCGAATGCTGTTGTCCTGTATGGACTCTCATATGTTTTATAAAATTTGGGCGAAAACGTACAACTCGACCACAAATTTGACACTCATAGGGCTTACATCGTAGACAGTGCTTTTCATAATTTTTTAAACTTTTTAAAACCATATTACATATGGCACATTTCATATTATTGGCATGACCAGACATATGAATATCATAAATTTCCTTAGATTCAAATTTTTCTGAGCATTCAACACAACCATATTCAAGTTTTTCAGTAACTTCTTCTTTAATAGTAATTGTCACTGGCATAGGTGACGACGATGGAGCAGATGATGGAGGAGGAGGAGGAGGTTCTTCAACTTTTTTATTGAATTTTATAAATTCTTTCACTTCATCAATTTTCGAGTCTTCGTCACTTTCAATTTCTTCTTTTATCGACTTTTCAGGCGATGCAGCCGGATCTTGAAGAATAAATTCAATTTGCTGTGATAATGAGCTGTCGGAAAATACAAAATTGTCATTTTCATTTTTTATTTCAATGAAAAGTGGAATCGATGTGACGTCCATTTTTAAATTCTTTGGTGTAAAAACTAGCCAAAACTCGAAAAAAACGAGCAATTTATTTTAGCTTAACTCAACTTTAACTTTTAGTTGTTAAATACATTTTTTTAAAAAAGTTTCACTTAAAAAAAGTGCAAAAATTAAGTTTTTATTTCAATAAAAAATTGACATTTTCCTGATTTGACATATATTTTTTATAATTGCCGATACTGACTGACAGTGGCAGAATCGATCACGCTGAATTTGGCTGACATTCAATCTGACCAACCTGAAAGAAAAATTATATTTACTCCAAATAGGTCAGTCTCCACCAACCAAAGATATAAAACAGTATTAATTTTGCCGTTTTCACAATGCACCACCATGACATCCTCCTTATTACAAATAGGGCAGAACTTTTTTAAACATAAATATATCTCCTATTTATAAGGTAATAATAAAAAACCAGTCATTAAATTACAAGTATTATAAACAAAAGGAACCGCAAAATACTATTTTGCTCAAGAAACTCAATGTTTTGAAAATCTATTATAACAAGTAAAAATTTCATATGTCTTTATTTAATATATGTATATTTTTATTGTGTAAAAGTCAAAAATTTAATATATCAACTAAATAATGAAAATTGTTATATTCACTTATTATTGTAACGAGTGACTTTTGAATCTGACAGAATATTGATATATGACCGCCAAAGTATCGTTAAAGAATTTGAATACCGTGATTTCGAGCGGACATCTACCACTTCCCTATTGTGACTCTCTTTTCGGTTAAACTGTATTCTACATATTTCGGTATGTAGTCTTAATTTTTACAAGAATGACTTTACTTTCTGCTTAGGAATTTCTTTGGATTAGAATAATTCATATACCTTTTTTGATAATGAATAATGATATAATTTCACTAATTCTAGAAAACAATCATTATTATTTTTTCCTTCAGAATACTATTTTTTTTCTTTCGACTTATTGTTTCTTCAAATTATTATGAACGGTTATTATTACTTTCGATACAGCTCTCAAGCAAGGTTTGTCGAAACTTAAACTATATGCACCACTTCGCCGTATTTAAGTCGAACTCACAGCTTCATATTAGGACAATTAACTCTGTAAGTATGCAAAATACTACCAAAATACCACATACGACAAAATAGTGATACTAGGCCAGACCAACAAAATTTTTTTTTTTAATTATTATATTTATCTTTATTTCGAGTTACTTTTTATAATTTAAGTTCTTTAAAATTTTGTTTTGCTGCAATATGTATGTACATATTTATGTATACCCATATATTTAGTTTTTCTATGATGTACTTTTTTTAATTCTCCATTCAAAAATTCTAACAGATTAAAAATTGATTAACTTTACTTCTTATTTGTTATTGCTAAAAACTTATTAATGCATCTTAAAAATATTACTTTAACTAAAAAATATTGACTTCAAGTCTTAGAAAAATTGTATTGGAATTTTCCATAACATTATAAAGAAAATTATTTTATTATCTTTTACATAATTTAATTAAAAAAAAAACCCTTAAACGAGAAGATACGTTATGTTATCGTTCTAAAAAAACATCCCTTTTAAAAAAAACTCAAATTCTCAACAAAACAAATTATGGATATCTGTATGTATAATTTTTGTTACAAATCTATGTAAAAAAACAATTAATTAAATTAAACCTACTTTTTTTCTAAAAGCTGCTTTCGGAACACATCTTAAAAAAAATTTTTCACATAAGATTCTGCATTATTGTAAGATGTAATAAGTTCATATTCAATTAAATTGCAAAAATTTTAAAACATATTCTTTGCATTTTGAGTACCATGATGGTTACGTTAAAAAAAGCAGTCACGCAATGAACTTATAAAAAAATTAAGATTTTCTAACAGATGTAATGTACATAATAATTTTATTTATTTTTGATGAAAGAGTTTGGCTACTTTTCTAAACACAACCGATGATCATACTATTGCAAATGATTACGGATACTACAGCTCCTGCAAATCATTATTTGTTATTCTTTTTCTAATTAAATACTCGTTCGAACCTAAACATCAATTTTAACCATAAACTTTAAAAAAAACTTGCGTAGCGTTGGTAATTCAGTTTGCAAAAAAGGAAAATAAGTATTTTCATCAATATTGTCACTGTTAAATGAGATTTTAAGTTGAGCGAATGCTTGCGATAGCTTTTGTTGTATTTTTTTAAGTAGTTGTGATTGTGTTACTTCTGCTTTAATTTGGAAAAGCGATAAAGGTCATTCATGTACAGCAACTCTCTCCTGCATATTATTTCCGTCACCAGGTGGAATAATTTTCGATACATTTTTCTCCTGCTTCCGATGTGTTAGCAAATGAGCCTGCTGACTTGATTCAGTGTGAAAGCGTTTATTGCAAAATTTACACCCAAAAGGAATTTCGCCTGTATGGGTACGGGCATGAATTTTAAGATTATAACGTTGCCCAAAAACTTTTCCGCAAATATTACATCTAAAATTCAATTTTAAATTAAAGAAATACATATTCAAAAAACTTGTTTGAGTACCAAGAAATATAGTGTTTTTACTAAATACTAATTTCAAATTTGAATGTATAAAAAATAAGTTTCATTTATTTTAAAAGAAATACCTATTGAAATTTAGATTGAGCAAATAATTTTGAGAAAAACTTTAATATATTCAAAAACTGTGTTAAAAATTACTTATGAGGTTTTGATCCGGAATCGGAATGCAACTCCGAATGTCCTTTTAAAGTTGCAAGTGTACTAAAGACCTATTAAAAACATAAATAGAAAAGTTGAAAAATAAACCTCATTTCGAATAAAAAGATTAATAATTACCTTGCCACATATCCCGCAAGTTAAGTTAATATTATCGTTATGAATTTTTTTATGAATTTTAAAATATTCGAAACTCATAAATTCCTTCAGACACACTTCACACTGGTACTTACGGCGTTCTGATTGTAATTGCCCCTCATGCACTCTCATATGCTTTATAAAATTTGGACGAAAACGTACAACTCGACCACAAATTTGACACTCAAATGGTCTACAACGGAGACAATGCTTTTCATAATTTTTTAAGCTTTTTAAAACCATATTACATATGGCACATTTCATATTGTTGGCATGTCCAGACATATGGATGTCAAAAATTTCCTTGGATTCAAATTTTTCTGAGCACTGTACGCAATTATATTCAGATATTTCAACAATTTCTTCTTTTAGTGAAGACGTTATTGGTATAGACGAAAATGATAAATTTGACGATGTGGGAAGATTTTGTGGTTTATCAACCTTTTTGATTTTCCTAAACTTTTTCAATTTATCAATTTCCAGTTCCTTGTCGCCGCCAATTTCTCCTTTTACAGACGAAGCAGCTGAATTTTTTGAAATAAATTAAATTTTTATAGTTATTCCAAGTTCAACATTACCAATTTTCCTTTCCATTTCCGTGAATAATTGAATAAAAGTGCCCTTTTGAAGATTTCTTTATATTAAGAACTATTAGTATGTGTGTATTATTATAGACTTTGATGCAACTTTAATTTTCAATTTCGTTTATTTATATTTAAAATACTTAGAAAAAAATATTTGAACATTTCTTCATCAACAAAAGATTATGAAGTTTCTTTAGTCTGACAGAATAAATTTATTGTCTAAAATAAATAGAGATGGGCGAAATTTTATATCGTAATTTTCATATTTGGAGACAACACAGATTTTAAGCTCTGAATGTTCTGAGATGAAAAAACAAATCAGGCCTACTTTTTGACAGATCTGAATCTACTCTAATTTAAATTAATCTGAAAAAACGAAAACGGTCTAACGCCATTTGCAATGGTAGTGCAGTCAAACTTCTTTATATGAATTGAAGTAAAGAATTTATTCGACATGGGGGTATTCAAGATTTAAAAATAAAATTTTAAAAAAACAACATTTACATTTTTAAGTATAACATAATACATATACAAATTCATTTATATTTGCATTTATAAAAATTTTAAAAAGATTTTTATTTATAATTTAATTTTAATCATGTATGACATCTGTCTACTTTACTTAATAAATGCTTTTATTTCATATTTTTTAATATATATTAGTTTAAATTTTTAAATTTTTCGGTCATTTTAATTTTTTTTGTTCCAAATCAAGGTAAAATGAAAATTAAAAATCCAAAATAAGTGCTTTTTTATTTTTTAATTCAAAAATAGAAAATGTTTAAAACTAATTTAAAAATAAAAATCTTTGTTAAATTTTTTAATTTAAAAAAAAAGTACTTTACACAACCCTGAAATAATCGAATTCGATTGTTTGCATAAGAACGACAGTATATTTGACATAAATATTTGCTTAACTTATGAGCTATGATAATGTGATTTATTTACATTGAATAAAAAATGTTAAAATATAATATTAATTTTTTGAAAACTTTTTCAAGATCGGTAAATTTTAATATACTGTTTATTGTTCATTATTAGATGCACTATTTTAAACTCATTTTAAAACGATCCGCTTTTAAAGTAATACAAAATAATAAAGCATCGTTAAAGTTTACATAACATTTTATTGACTATGAATTTTTCTATCTATATTTTAATCAAAAATACATTTCAAAAAGAAACTATTGGAAAATCTAAGCTATAAAATTAAGGAACATAAAATATACGTTATATTATTGCTTTAAAATCAAGCTTTTTATGCTTTATTGTTACATCTAGTGGTGAACGTACAAATGTGTGGCTGAAAAAACAAGAACATTTAAAAAACGTGTCACGTCTCCTCATACAGGAACATAAATGTTGTTAGGACAATGTGCAAAAAAAATTCTTGTATATTCATATTTCCTACAACAATTTTAAAAACAGTCCTTATATTCACATTTGAAATATTTGTAGATTTTGTCGCACCTTCATGCATCACAATTGATTTTTTATCTCAAAATATTTTTATTTTCAATCAGTAATTTAATCCCGAGGTTTGCTTCGAGGTGATCTTACATATTTCTTCCACCTCATGACTCTCATGCTTTTCTTTCTAGGCGTCATAGGTCTTCGATTAATTTTACTATTTCTGCTTTTTTTTTACTAATTTTGCGACTTTTCAGGAATTTAAAAAGTATAAATGGAATTTTAAAATAAATTCTTTATGTTACAGCTAGCAGTAAAATCTGGAACAAATCCTGGCTTGTTAAGTAAACCAGATTCTAAAACAATATTAAATGACTACATTGGTCCTCCAGATAAATATTCAAACTTGAGGTTAATACGGTTAAGGAATAATACGTGAAAAATTTGAATTCATCTTAATTTATTTTCAGACCGATCGTAAGAGCAGAAAAAAATAATGAAACAAATTTAGAAAAACAATTAAGAGAAAAGCAAATTGAAGTTGAAGAATGGAATCAAGAATTTTGGTCACGTCACAACAAACGTTTTTATGAAGTAAAAGATATTTTCTGAAATAATGTCTAAGAAATAGTATAATTTTTTTATAGGAGAAAGATATTTTCATAAAAACTCATAAAATAGCTGGTGTAGATGAAATTCCAGCGGATAAAATGAGTGAATTTTACAAAGCTTTCCTTGATAAAAATAAGAAATTACACTATTATTATAATTTATCATGGTACATGAAAAATTTTGATCTTTTAATTATGTCAGCTCAAGTAAAGATATCAAGGTTTTTCAAAATGTTTAAGAAAAAAGAATAAAAAAGTAAATTCTTATAAGCATTTATACAAATACCTATGAATTAATAAATAGAGTTTGAAGAATTTTGTGATTTAATAAAAAATCTACACTTCTACATAAAAAATATGTAAATGTATGTTCATAAATATAAAATAAAAATTTTATAAATTTTGTCGGGACATAGTGCGATCAACAAAATTTTATCAATATAGGTCTATTATAACAAATAATACCCCTAACAATTAAAATGATAACTAATAATTTTAATAATAGCAATTAAAATTACTTATAGTTACATATCAACAAATTACAAATTTTTAGTTCAGTCTAAGAAAACAACGGAATTTTATTTTAAACCTTATTTATATTTACATAATATTCTTATTTCTTAGTAGATTATCAATTAAATTACGATGTTACCCAGGATTGAAACCTAGGCCTTATACCCTTTTTTAATATACTTATGTTAATACCTTTATCGTTTTTCATGTAACAACCGTATCTGTTTTCACTCATCATTAAGTAAATATTTACTTTAGAAGTAAAATCAATTCTGTTGTTATAAATCGTATGAAATTTGACTAAAATATTTTGTGCAATTGGTTTAATAAACATAAATTTGTAATTAAGATCAAGACTAAATATAATGGACTTTATTGTTTATTTCTCTCAAGTTTTTAATTAAATTGCGTATGATATTTCACTCAAACAAATGAACTTCTGATATCTATCCCAATTTAATGCTTTGGAATGCTTAAATTTTCCCTATTATCCATTTGACTTTTTAAAAGATGAATTTGGTAAAAAACTAATAAGAGACCGTAAATTTCAAAAAAATTCTAAAATTAACACATCGTTTCGTCAAAAAGTTTTTAAACAAAATTATAGGTGCCAACTAAAATAAAAGATTAAAAAATTTAAAAACTTTATTCTAGAAATATTTATTAAAGTATTTATTTGCACAAACCATTCCGTTTTATACTAAGACTACATCCGCCATCTTTTTCTACTTGTTAACCGACGTACACATAAATATTATTGTATTTTGAAATTTTTTTTTTAATTAATAATTGTTACACTTAAATTTTAATAAGTTAGTTCAGATTGTTAACTAAATTTATCAATTTAATAGTTCAATTCACATACTAGTTCAATATACATACATATGTAGCATAAATTAGCGGGGTAAATATGCTTTTGAGATGTTCCATGTATGATAAATTAAGGAAGTAAGAGAATTAAAATAAGATATTACCTTCATATTATTACGCTAATCAAAAATTTTTTAAAAAGTCTTTAAGATACCTGAAATCTTGAAAACTGTTAAGATTTTGCACCTAAATGCAAAAAAAAAATTGCGAACGCCGTAAAAAATACATACGTTGGAGCACTTAATAGCGAGCCACTCTGTGACCTTTCGTATAAGTGTTTCGTATATGTTTCGTAAAGAAATACACTTCCCATTTAATATATTTTTAATTTGTATACGTATCTACATATTTTATATTATTTACATTTCTAAATTATTGATCAAAATATCATAAATCATTTGTTCAAATATAAGAACATACATAAGGAAACTTATAGCAATATGTGAAATACTTTATCTTTAATTAACGCACACTTTTGAAGCTTTAACTGTATTTTTTTTTTAAATAAATATTTTTGGTTTTACTGCTTTTACTTTATAGATAGAAACACGGATCGCGTAAATAACATCGTAAATCTGAATTTAAACCAGGAGAAAATGTTTAAACTTTACTTCATTTTCTTTATATTTTGTGCGTTCAACTTAATAATAACGTTAACTAAACCAAACAACTTCATGGTAACTGACAAGGAATGGGAAAATTATAAAGCAAAATACAATAAATGTTACAATGTTCAAGAGGATGCAATGAGAAGAGATATTTATGCAGCAAATAAAAGAGCAATCATAGTTCACAATATCAGATACCGTGCTGGTTTAGAGACATACACAGAAGGAATCAATCAATTTACAGATATGAAACCAGACGAACTTCCATTTGGTTTAATGTCTCATTAATGAAATAATACATTATGTATTTTCATTCATATAACAATGATTATATCTGATAGAGGTTATAATGTACATATGTACGTAATAATTTGCAAAATATTTTTAAGTTTCTTCTACTTGTTACAACCAAATATAACAACTAATTAATATATAATCAATTATAAATAAATTATCTGTGGTTACAACTTATGAGTATAACAAAATCTTTATAAATTAAATTAAATATTCTGATGGAAGTTATTATATGAAAGTTCCAGAGCGTGAGAATATCGCCTGCTCTTTTTTTTAGCCCATTTCATACACCATAAAAAATTTTTCAAATTCATTAACATATTTATGTACATACATTTATAATAAAATAATTTATTTTAAATAAAAAAATAATACAAATATAATTATTAAGCAATTTCTCTTTTCCTTTTGCTGGAAAATATATCAACGATATTATATAGTTACCATTTTTTTTGGTTCTTGCATTTTTAATCGATAATATTTTTAATTCAGACTATTTAAGACATACAAAGGTCCTATAACTTAAAAGATTAGTAGACCTGTAACTTAACAAGTCAGAGTTATGACCAATTCGACAAAAAACTCACTGAAAGGGATTTGTAGATATTTGAACTTTGAAAGTACATATTTTTAACCCTTTTCCAAAAACACTTCACAAGTTATCGCCTCAAAAAATTTGTAGAATTTATATTTTTGGCACCTTATATTTCCGAAACAACAAACTTTCCAAATTTCTATTAATGCAGAAAGTGAACACTAAATACCATATCATCAATTTTTTTTGTTTCATCCTATACGATTTTTCAATGTTTTTTAAGCAGTATTTTCACTTGCTGAAAAGAAAAGTGTTGCGTTACAAACCACTGGTAATAATATTCTGATTTTGAATTAAGAAAAATAAATTTATCCGTTTGAATATTCATGTATGTATGTACATATGTATATTAAATTTTTTTGAATATATGTATGTATATATGTATACTAAAATTTTGTGGTTAAAGTTTGTTCATACTAAATTCTGGGTATATGTAGTAAAATGAGTTTTGAGGGGAACAATTGGTTATTAAGTTAGATTTAGATTTTAAAAACATTTTCCATATTTACATTTTTAGAATTGCAATATGAGCTGGCTAATAGCTGGTCAAATTTTAGTACGGACTCAGTTCTTGATCGATCAAAATTTTGACATTTTTTCTTTTTATACGAAACTAAAATGATTAAGTTCAAATCAATATTTTACCACTTTTTAACATTTTGGAAAATCTTTACTTGAAATTGCCTATCACTAACGATTTTATGACTATAATAAGTCTGTATTTTTAAAAATTTTATAAAGTTTTCGCATGCACTCGTCTGGGATAATACTTTAAAAAAAAAAATGAAAGAAACTGATGACGTTTTCATATTTCCTTCAAGTTTTGTAAAGTAAAATTTAGTGTTTTAAAAATCTTACAGCTGTTGAAATACACATATTTTTGCCTTGGTTATGTCAGAAGGTTTTATTAAAAATTTTCAAAAACAATAATTTTTTTTTTTTAAAACTTTTTAATTAAAAATAAGATATAGAAAATGGATTCGCAATTGATTTTTTTTTTAAGTATGACACTTTTATAATCCGAAATTAAAATTTTCGGTTTTTGGTATAACCAAAAAATATTTGTTTATGTTTTTTTGAAAATTTGACATTTATCACGTATTTATAAAGTTTTAAAAATTTTTCTCAACTTTTCCGTCTTTTTTAAATGAGATTTATTTTTTTTTGGGAGAAATTACATCATTGTTTCCTTTTTAAAGTTTTTTTCAAGTTTTATACCAGACAGACCTAATATTTATGTATGGATATATATGAAACAACATGGTACTCTAAAACTTTTTTGGATTTCTATCATCCGTTTTTTTTCTATCATTCTAAACCTCCGTTTCTTTTTTTGATTAATAACGGTTTCCTATTTCATTAATATCTAAGGCTCCCGCAAAACAAGTATAAAATTAAATTCATAAAAATCAGCCGGCTTAACAATAATTTTAGTTTCTCTATAATTTAAATCACGGCGCTCACATCAATTTACTTGCGCTAGCATTCTAGCCATTTGGATACATATATACATATATAGAAATGCAGTAACAATTGGTTAACGTTGTATCAGGTTATACGTAAAAGTATCGAGTACAAATTTTGAAAAACATCGATTATATTGCGATATTTTTCTTTTTGATATATCAAATATTTAAAATTTTTTTTGAAAATGACATCGAAATTATATTTTATAAAAAAATATTTATATTTATATACACACATTTTTTTATCATTAAGATATATGGATGGTAAAAGTTATATGATTTTTTGCGCGCTAATTGTAGCTAACAGAAAATTTCATACAAACAGAAAATTGAGGAACAATTGGAAAAAATCAGTTTTTCGTTAAAAATAGATATAGCTACTACAAAAATCTTTTGCAATTTTTCTGATCAAATTACATCAGAACTTTCAATCAGCTGTTTGGAAAACTTATTTTAAATCAGAAAATATTTTTTTATTTTGCAATAATATATGTAATTGCAAAGTGTTCAATAAAAAGAAAACTAATAACATGTATTGTTTTATATCATTTAATTCAAATTTTTCGAGTTAATTCTCTTTATTGCACAAACAAAATAAGAAACAAAGTTTAGTTGCTCATTTTTCTGATACATAGCTTCAATTGTTTATTATGTCAGTTAAAAGCTTCAAAAAGACGTTTAGGTATTACATTTCAAATCATTATTAGCATTTCAAATTTTTTCGAATTTACTTTAATGAAACTTCAGGTCAAGTAACGTTTATATGGATATGAAATTGGCTTCAAGTACACTTGAAGCTGCCATATAAAAGAGGTAATCGTTAAGTCAAAAACGAAGCAAAAGTTATTTTTCGCGGCGAAATGTCAAAATTCATGTAAAATACACATTATTATTTAAATACACATTATTTATATACATTATGTCATTCTGGAACTGCCTATAATGAAGCGAAATTACCGATACGAATTTAACCGAAAAGGGGAAGTGTAAAAGCATAACCAAAGCGGTGAGCGGCAACGGTGAATGATGTAGGTTGTTAACCCAGAACAACAACGGCAAAGTCAACTGTACACAAATGGAAACAGATGATGCCAAAGAAAAATATGATTTCTTGATTAACTTTTTGAATTAAGTTTTTCAATGAAATTCCCTGGAAACCAGTCTGCTAAAGGTTTCCAAATAATTTAAGTAATTATTAGAAAAAACTTTGTTCATATATACATATGCCTTTTGTAATAAATACCTATGTAAAGAAAACTTTCTTGTTAACTCTTCAATTTTTACTGCAGCACTTTACGGTAAAATACTTTTATTATACTTATTTTAGTTTATCAATTATGTATCAATTTAGTTTTAACTGTGTATCAATTTTCTCCTATATTAATTTTTATTTTTAAAATACTATACTCATCACAAAAATAAAAAATAAAAATATATATTACTAATGATGAGAAAGGAGTGTCATTATAAAAAATGCAAAATTTTTTAGCGGGAAAGTTTTTTTTTATAGCAGTGAGTATCTAAATCGGAACTTTGCTCTTTGGTATTTCTGAATAGAAAATATTTTTTACACTGTTAGAACCAGCCTAGGCTAAAGATGTCTATTGGTTTGGTGGACATGAACAGAATATGTAATTTTTATTCATGATATGCAAATACAATAAAAAATTGCACAACCCTGTTTATTAATAGAGAAGATTTAAACCAAATATTTTTTGTACACCGGCAGCACATTTTAAATAAAATGGCTGTTCCACCAACAAAAACAAAATTAATACATTTCATTCTGGCAAAGAAAATTACGATTGACATTTCGTTCGATTTGATTGTGTGGTAGTGGACGGAAACATTTTTTCAATTTCGTTGAGAAAGAAAAAGTATATTTTGCATTTAAATGTCGCAAGTGTTCAGCAAGAAAAATTGAAAATATTTCGCTTGTATATTTTAAATAAAATTGTAAAAATCGTATTAAAAATTTTTACATGAGCTAATATGAAAATTGGAATTTCTTGCTTTTATAATTTCCCGATGTAGAGAAGACGTTTTTTCTTTGTTGCACTATTACCTTGCAACTGAAAAATTTACATAAAAAATCAATGAACGCTTGTGTTATACAATAATAAAAATTATAAATATTTTACATATATATATATAAAACATTTAAATTATGTGCAGTAGAATAAGATAGTGAAAAAAAAATTTAGTAGTTTAACAAATTATTAAAGTAAAAAAAAAGGTGCAATGAAAATTTCAATAGTTTATTAATAGCAGAAGAAAAAGTGTAGATATATTTAATATAATATAAAAATATATGTATGTATGTATGTACCTACAAAAAATAAGTATATTAGAAGGTTTTCTGTATTGTAAAGGAAAAAAAGTTGTTTTTAATTTTTATTTACCACATCATATTAAGTGTTTTTAATTTTGTTATGATTTCAAAATCCCAAGGTTGCTAAATTTTACAAAAAAAAAAAGAAAAAAAAAGTGAAAAATAAGATTGGCAAAATATCAAATTCATTAAAAAAAATATATGTATGTATAGGTATAAATGAAAATTTTACATTCTGTAAAAAAAAAATCCTAGAAAATATTTTTTGTCATTTTATTTTCTAAACCTTAGTAGAGGGTGAAAAAATCGTGATTTAATTTTTTTCTTCAAAGGAGTAAATTATATTAAAAAAATCTTCCTGTCCATATTTATAATCCAAATGTCTACCACATCAGCTGAATCTCCTACATTATCATCACCATCATCATCTGCGCCTGCAACCGCCACAACACCCCCTACTGGGATTGCTGTAGCACAACCAACAAACAGCAGAAAAACTACACAAAAAATGCCTAGAGGCATTCCGTCAGACAAGGTAAGTTAAAAATTCTTTAAGCACACATATGTAAGTACATAGTATATGTATGTATATATATATAATATATATAAGTATATATATATATTTATACTGTTTCGCATAATTAGGACTCTGAATTTTTATTTAATATTTTCATTTTTGACAAAACATATTAGAAATTTTAACTAAAATTTACGTGGGTATTTCTGAATACAAATCTATATATCTACTTATGTACATATGTATATAGACATGTGCACGCAACAAATATTCATTTGATTTACATAGTTGTTTGTCTCATTTGTGTTTACGTATGGTTGTTATATAAATAAGTGTAAAAATATTAACATGCATAAATTATTACGATGTAGATATATTATATTATTAACTAGAAATTCATCTATGAACATATGGGTTTGTTATCCTCGTTTTTTTATATTTTCTTTTCTCTCTTATTCTATGAAACTTAAAAATGTTCTATTAAGCAGATGACAGAGAAGGTTTAATCCTGCTACATGTTCCTTTGTATTGAGCACCTACGATATTAATAGATGTGTGTTCACAATGTTTTAATGTGTTAACAACATCAAATTGGAAAGTAGATGGGTAGCTACTAAACTAACACTAATCTAGGTTTTTACAAAATTTAAGCATAATATAAAACACAAAGCTACAAAAATAGCTTAAACTCTTATTTTAAAATATCTTAACAAAAAGTGACAAATAGAAAGAAAAAAACTTGTTTTTTCGTAGATATACAAATGTGTATATGTATCTTACTTATTTACAAAATAAACACGTGAAATCTTGTTAATTTTTTGACCACATAGATAGGTACTAATATCAACACATGCGTAACTTCCTTAATAGGTATTTGAATATTATTGTAAATAGAAATTAAAGCAAACAAAAATTTAATATAAGATTGACAAGTGCGAATATTTTAATTTTGATTTAATAAGGTATACAACTACAAGTAGGGATAACGATTTCCCTTTTAAAATGAAATCGTAATGGAACTGGAATTGGACTGAAAGTGCTAAAAAAATCGCACCTTAAAAGGTTCTACTTAAAAGTTGTTCTACTAAGAAAAATATAAAAAGACTACTACTTACCATACATTCTACTCTTTTTTTTGCTAGCCTTTGTACATATTTTGCGAAGTAAAGTAAGTACATATGTGTTAATAGAATATAAATAACGATTTAGGTAGCTTCATTACTAATTTCAAAGGTAAAATTTGTCCTTACACAATAATTTTCTTTTTCCCTTAAAAAAAAATTGTTCTCTAAACAATTGGAAATAAAAACTATTTTATTTGCGTATTTTTTATTTTTAACATTTAAATTAAAATTGTATTAGAATTATTATAAATACATAAAACGTATTGTGAATTATGCTTAGTCCATGAAGTATTGTGTGCAACTTTTAGGAATGTCTGTGTTATTGGAGTTTGAGTCCACTGAGTTATTTTTAAAGAAAAATACAATGAAATTTTAGAATAATTTTATAAGAAACAAAGTAAATTATAAGCAAATCAGAAACTTTAAAATTTTAAGCTAAGCACAACTTCTGATTCTATGGAATATGTGTATTTAATGAACAATTTTTGAAAAAAAAAAGAGCAAGAGAAAACGGTTTCAGTTTTAGCTGTGTACAGGAATTAAATAATATTTCTTCTTCATTTATTTTAACTATTTACAAAAATCTGTTCGTGCATAAACTGCTCAAGTACTTACTTTGAAATTAATATTCGTGCTAGTACTCGCTGTATTAAAAGTAAGAATTCCAGAAATATGTCACATTTAGTTTTGAATTGTACAAATAAAAATATGTTTCTATTTCTATAATTTAATTTTATTTTGAAAATATATATCAGTGCCCGGAAACCGAATTAGGGAACGATTTCATATTTTTTAACCATATCTGAGGAACTAAGTAATTGATAAAATTTTTGGAAATTTAAAACTTACTTATTTAAGTTCTATTTGCTACAATAAGTAATTGACGAACGGTTCAAGGAATTAGGATAAGATAACGTGAATCTCTATTAAGAGCCAAATTTACATTTTTCCAGATAAGGTAAGTGTCCCTATTACTGACATACTTCGCAACAAATTCAACTTTGGCGTGAGATATTTTATGTGTAGGACACAATAAATGATCATGTTTCCGATTTTTTGAATAATTTGGATAATTGAGAATAATGTTTTTTATAAAATTATTTAATCAAAATATTTTTTAATTCATAATTTTTCGATTAAAAATGAAAAGCAAAAATGTTCCTAATATTGACATAACCGCAAATGTTTGTGTCTATTACTGACAGTTTGTGTTCCTAATACTGACAATGTAATTTCATATGCTGTAATCTATATTCTATATATGAATAATGGTTAAAATGGTTAAAATGATAATATTAAATAAAAATGGAATAATAATTTAGATTTCTACAGATATTTCATCTTATTTCAAAAAAAATTAAAAATGAATGAAAATATAATTCAAACAAAAATAAAAAAAATATATTTTTATTGAATTAAAGGTAAAAATATGTGTAATTCAGCTGATTTGAATTTATTATTACTGTAGAATGTACTGTTGCTAGTAGCCTTAATATGCAACAATGAATAAATAAAAATTTTTAAAAGATATTTATGAAAATCTAATTCGAAATTACATAATGTTTTATAAAGTATTATAAGTAAGATTTGCTACAAATGTATTCTTATAAATAATACCTAAAATATGATGTACCATATCACACGAAATTATAAGAAATCAGATCAATATATTCTAAAGCTGCTAATAAGCCTATTCTAAAGCTGCTTTTTGCTTTAACAAAGACTATTTATGTATTAAGTACGTAACGAAAGCAACCCATTCTCAATTTTTAGAACAACATTTTGGGTTATTAAAAAGGACTACTTTTCTTATTTAAAGAGAACCATTTCCGTTGTGATATTTGTTATAACGTTAACGTTTACAGTAATTTTAAAGCATTTTTTTAAAAACCGAATTGTACTGTTTATTGACAGTATTGTATACAATATTGATACACAATTTATTAGACGAATATCACTATTAAAAAGGTAAAAAGGTCGTAGTCAGATATAGGTTTTCACAAATGTAATCGATTTTCATTTGACTGAAATAGTTTAAACAATTTTAAAGTATAAAGAAATTATTTTAATTAATTAAAATGAATATCAAAATTAAAACTTTATACTGACATAATTTTGTTCATAATATTGACCCTCTTTAGATCGTATTACTGACACCAGTTTTTAAAGGTAAAATACTCCGAACCTGTAGTAAATTCTTAGTGTCAGAATTCGGACATTAGAAAGAAAATTCAAATTCGATTTTAATTAAATAAATACGAAAATAAAAATTTAAATATTTTAAAAATGACGTAATTTATAAAAATACGGATTTTTGACGTATTACTGACACATATGTCAGTAATAGAAGCATGGTCGAATTTTAGATGTTTCTAATACTGACAGAAATTATTTGTTAAAATTCTTATTTATTTAATGTTTTTACTCCGATTTACTTATAAAATAAGATAAAAAATAATCAAAATATTTAATTTAATATAAATACATATATATTTAACCCTCAAATAAGTCAAAAGGCAATAAAAACAAAATCGGAAAAATTAAGCAAAAAGTATAAGAAATTCTCCAATTCAACCCACCATTGCTATGTCTAGGGAAACAAAACTGATTTATGCCCAATATTTTGGAGTTATTTCAAAACTAAATAAAAGAAAGTATTGCGATAATTTGAATTAATCTAGAAATAAAAAAATATATATAAGGTAAGTGTAGCTAATACTGACAGTGGCGGTAATACTGACATATATGAGGTTTTTTATAATTATTAAGAGATTTTCTCTATACAACATATATATATATTTTTATTTCTAGATTAATTCAAATTATCGCAATACTTCCTTTTATTTAGTTTTGAAATAACTCCAAAATATTGAACATAAATCAGTTTTGTTTCCATAGACATAGCAATGGTGGGTTGAATTGGAGAATTTCTTATACTTTTTGCTTAATTTTTCCGATTTTGTTTTTATTGCTTTTTGACTTATTTGAGGGTTAAAAATATATGTATTTATATTAAATTAAATATTTTGATTATTTTTTATCTTATTTTATAAGTAATTCGGAGTAAAAACGTTAAATAAATAAGAATTTTAACAAATAATTTCTGTCAGTATTAGAAACATCTAAAATTCGACCATGCTTCTATTACTGACATATGTGTCAGTAATACGTCAAAAATCCGTATTTTTATAAATTACGTCATTTTTAAAATATTTAAATTTTTATTTTCGTATTTATTTAATTAAAATCGAATTTGAATTTTCTTTCTAATGTCCGAATTCTGACACTAAGAATTTACTACAGGTTCGGAGTATTTTACCTTTAAAAACTGGTGTCAGTAATACGATCTAAAGAGGGTCAATATTATGTACAAAATTATGTCAGTATAAAGTTTTAATTTTTATATTCATTTTAATTAATTAAAATAATTTCTTTATACTTTAAAATTGTTTAAACTATTTCAGTCAAATGAAAATCGATTACATTTGTGAAAACCTATATCTGACTACGACCTTTTTACCTTTTCAATAGTGATATTCGTCTAATAAATTGTGTATCAATATTGTATACAATACTGTCAATAAAACAGTACAATTCGGTTTCTAAGAAAATGCTTTAAAATTACTGTAAACGTTAACGTTATAACAAATATCACAACGGAAATGGTTCTCTTTAAATAAGAAAAGTAGTCCTTTTTAATAACCCAAAATGTTGTTCTAAAAATTGAGAATGGGTTGCTTTCGTTACGTACTTAATACATAAATAGTCTTTGTTAAAGCAAAAAGCAGCTTTAGAATAGGCTTATTAGCAGCTTTAGAATATAATGATCTGATTTCTTATAATTTCGTGTGATATGGTACATCATATTTTAGGTATTATTTATAAGAATACATT